AACCCAAAGAAGTATAACATGAAACCGTGGGTGTGCTTTGAAAACTTGTGACACCAGATCAAAATCACGCCCCTCCATCCTCAATCCGTGGTGAAGTTGAGCACACAGATAGTGTGGCTCATCCCTGCCCACATGCACTTGGTCTCTCGGTCAAGTCAAGCCAAGGCAGGTCAGCCGTGCCAGAGTCACGCAGATAGCCAAATGGCCGCCTTCAAACATGTAAATACATTAAGTACATGTTGGATTATCACTATTGCGCTTCATTGCTGTCATTTCCCAAATGCTCATCAGCTACCTGATAGGAAAATGAAGTAATGAATAGCAAAATTTTGAGTACGTCAAGCTGTTATGATGAAACAATACATTTTAGCCATTGTTTTTTCCCCATTCTAATGACAGAGGAAGCATGCGAAGCTGCCAGTGACAGATGGACATGAGAGGATGACAGAATCTACTGTTTGTTTGCTATAAGAGCTGATGAAAGCTTACGCATGAACGTGCAGAACAAGCAGGAAGCAGACAGCACTTTTCCTCTGTAGGGCAGGCATGCCCAGAAAACACTTGGATATGGAAAGTATGCTGGAAAAAACACAAGACAGCGACTTAAACATAAAATAGGAAGAGGTGAACCTACAGTGGTAGCCACAGACTGACAGAAGCGAGGCTACCATATCGCACCAACACCAGTAGGTGGTAGGTGAAGTGTCTTGCCCAAGGACACAACGACCAGGACAGACAGAGCAGGGGATCGAACCAGCAACCTTCCGGTTACAAGACGAGCTTCCCAACCCTCTGAACCACAGTCGCCCCAATACGTGGTGCACTCTACGGCTCAGCCTCTTTTACACCAACTTGGCACAAGTCTCTCAAGTGTCTAGATGTAATCTGACAGTCTTGTTTAGGGGAGGGGAACACATTTTCCTCTTACATAAAAATGTGGGGATTGTGTGATGTGGTGTGACCGCTATCACTGCTGCTTTGTGATTGGGTGAATTCTTCACATTTGTCTCCCAGAGGTTAGTAGTTCAGCTCCCTGAGAAACACAGATGTGTCCTCCTAAAGCACACCCCCGGGGATCGACGTGTCACATTAGGCAGCCCTCTGCATCACTGCATGCAAAGCAGTGGAAAAGACAGCAAGCAAGAGGAATAGCCAGAGAGTGTCTTTATATTAAACCACACCCTGATGTCTTTGCAGGCTTCTGTCCTGGAAGCTGTTTACTTTTAATTAAAAATCCACCCTCCTCAGTTGACTCCTTGATAAAACTTCCTACTATCCCAGCAGGGCTCCGTAAGGCATTGGCATCTGCAATGTTTCGGAGGAGGAAGACGAATCTGTTGCTTCAGACTGCTTTTGATGGACTAAGTGTCTAAAAATAAAAGGGCCCCACTGCTGCCTGTTTTTTAATACTTTCTGTGCAACATTTTATTCACACCAGCTCTCAGGTTTTTGGCTCCTCGTCAAAAAAACTGGCGTGTAACGGCTGAGTAAGCTTTGCGTAATCTCTTGCTGGTTGTGTGATTAAACATTGCTGTGCAGACTAAAAGTAAGACCAAAAACACCGGATGGCCTGAGACGCGATGGGAGAGATACTGTTTATCTGAATATTGCCCTGTGTGTTGATCTTGTTTTACACTGCCCGACGCACACCGAGAGTTGCGCGTGCCAGCGTGATCAGAAGATTGTGAGGCTTGATAAAGCTGATCTTCATAATCTCAAACTAATTCTTTAGAAGTGATAAATATATGTGCTTTCATAATAAAAAAAATGGGAGTAACAGAATGACACATATAGACAGTCACAGTTCTTGGAACTTGTAACTTCTGGTTAAGAATTAGAAGGTGTGTCACCTGCTGACCCCAATGAAATCTAAAGCCAGTGATACCAGGAAGCAGACTTGCTCCAGTGGTTCTGAGTTGAGGCTTAGGAGTACGCCCTGATTCTAGCATAGCAGCTTCATGGAAGAGAAATATATTTTTCATCTGAAACTGGTGACATCTAGTGGGGGTGCTGAAGCTGTACAGCTGCCTGGCTCGCTGACAGAAACATCTCGAACACTCAGTTTGATTGTGATTACTGTGCTTGCTGCTTTACAGGCACGAGAGCTCAAAGGATAATCTGCACGAACATATTGTGAACAAACCCTAGATCTTAACACACCTTAACACATATTGAACTGTGCAAAAGTCTTGAGCTTTCTGAAGGTTTTTTCAGTGGTTTTCTTTGGAAGTTGGCTGCTTTTTCACTCATTTTCAGTTTTAAATATAATCTTTACCTGTTAATAGGAGACCGTCATAAAAAAAAAAAACATCATTTGTTCCCATTTGTTTATTTAAATCTGTGGCACATGCCATAGGTTATCTCAGCACGGTGTGCTCCATAGAAAATTGAGGAAACTTGATAAGTGCAAGGCAAACACGGGTTTCAGGTCTAAAAAACAACCTACAGCAGATGAACAGTATCTTAAGTTATGTCAATATAAAACAGAAGAAAACTGGAGGAGATCCTAAGCGGGCCAGACCAGTGAAATTCCCCTTTCTGTCAGTATAAAAATGTTTAACTACACATTTACTCACCACATCCTCATCTAGGTTTGACTGCATTTCTAATAGATAATGGCACATGGTTTGAGCACAGATTAAAAATGCAGTTTGGGGAAGGCCAGGCAGATCCCCACGTACTAAAGAGAGGTGAATGAATGTTTATCTAAAAAAGGAGGTAGGGTAGGGCATTAAAAACGAGAAGAAACAGCTAGTGGTGCAGGGGACATGCATGAGGTGTGGGCCTTCTGTCTGACACCCCTGGGCTAAAGCATCTGTGCTGAAGGTCTATGCTCTATACTTACAGAAATTACAAGCTTGCCTAAGAGCGTCCAGCATGTCTTGATGAATAAAGGTTAGATTGTAAAAGCTCTGTTTGTGCCTCATGCACTGCATGTTCCAATAAATCACTGCATCCATTTCCCATTTTCCCATCAAAATAACTTCAATTGCATTTTATTTATATAGCACCAAATGACAACAACAGTCACCTCAAGGCGCTTTTGTATTGTAAGGTAAAGACCCTACAATAGTACAAAGCTAAAATCCCAGACAATCATATGACCCCCTCTGAATAAGCACTTTGGCAACAGTAGATATTTATCATATGATTTTAACGTTTTGTCTGCTTTTCAACTGAAGCCAATGCTGATAATGTTAAGAAATCATCAAATGTGTGAAAACAATTTGTCCTAAACTTGACAAACTGTTCTGTTCAAAATGTTCCGCTAAGGCCAAAAAGAAGAAAGTCACGACCTCAGAGTCTGGTGCATTTTTTGTTTTTATTTCTTTAATGACTAGAAATTTTGCTGTGTGAAATCCGCAGGGCACTTGATCTTCTGGTACCAGCCGACGACTCGGCGTCTTAACTTTTTGTCACCAGTTCAAGATACAAGAACATCATGAAAAAGACACACAGATGTAATAAAAAGTTTCTTTCCCCCCCAATAACAAAAAGTTTTTTAAAAAAAACCCCCAAAAGACAAAAAACCTTGAAACAATAATAATTATCATCAAAGAATAATAAATAAGAAGCACTCTTCCCTGTACAGACATATATTCTAGTCTAAAATCTCTTGTAATAAAAATAGAACTTCAGTGCATTTCCTTTGACACATTTCTGCTGCCCCTTCAGCACGTCTGTGATACAACTCTTAGTTATCCTGGCATTAAAGCAATGGCCTTTACAAAAGAAACAATCAAGGGACAAAGTATTAACCCTCCAGAAGAACATTTTTAAAAAAGCTGATATAAAATTTCACAGCCTTCTCTTTACTATACATCTCAAAAACACAAACCTGGACATAAAAGGCACAAGTAACTACAATTTTCAGTAATACTGGACAAACAAAAATGGAATTCTTTTTGATGAACAATTTTGGTCATTTACAAATGGATTTCTATTCCTTTCACATTGACAGCCCTGTTTCCAACAAAGTCAGGACCTGGATAAAAATGTGCATAAAAACAGAGTGCAGTTAAATGTGCACGTTTTGTACCCTAATATGAGAATAGCAAAACTTTTATTACTTTATATTCTTACTGTGGTTTTTGTTATGCTAGATAAAAGAAATCAACACACAGACAGGCAACCATGACATGAAAAACTGGTGCTATGGTTCGAATACTCAAAAACTTCTTTAAATTCTTCTGTAAATCATGGATGCTGTGTCCTGCAGGCTAAAGAGACATACATCTGGCTTGTGCTAAATCAGGTTTAGGATCAGCATGTGCTGCTATGTGGATTGTCTTTTTTTTTTTTAGGCATGGTGATATACATTCTGCATATGACCATGAAGGCACCGAGGCTCCATCCAGGTGCCAGCACTGCCCGCCGCAAATATTTTTCTTAAGAAATGTAGAAATAAATATAGCAAAATGATCCCAAAATGTTCTGAGTATAAAATTGTGTTTAAAGCAAAACTAAGAAAAAAAGGTGCTCTCAGAGTTATAGAACGCGGTGCCCTCCTTTCCACAACACTTGGTGTTTTAAAGGGTTGTGCTGCTGTCCCGAAGTTCTTTAAAGATGGTGCTTAACATGACTTCAACTTAAAAATGTGCATATACAATTCAAAAATTTAATGTTTCTACTTTCAACATTTGTTATATTGTCACCAATTTTCAGTTTAATGTGAGATTTAAATCATTTGCAAATCACTGTATTCTGTTTTTATTTTACATTTTACAAAGTGTCAAAGTGTACCAGCTTCCTTTGGAAACAGGGTTGTATTTACATTATTACCATATATATATGTATATATACATATACATATACACACACACACACACACATATATATATATATATATATATATATGCACAAACATTGTTTTCATAAAGAAAAAAGTGCATCTTTATAACAAACCTGAATATTGCCAAAACAAACATTTAAATGAACAATAGTATTGAAAATGTATATAAAACCCAAAGCAATTACAAAAAAAAAACCAGACAAACAAAACAGACTAGTGTAGCAAACAATAAAGCAAAATGGGATGCACGATGCATCGAAGTGTAGACGCTGTCAAGTTCTCTGGTCTCTTGTGGCGGAGTCTCCTTTAGCTCCTCCCTCCACCATATCACTACCAGATGTTCGTTCCTCCCTCTCTGGCTGTTGTCCGATGACACTCGAGGCTACCGGGGGTGTTAGACTAGGGGGTGCTCTTGAACGGTCGTCACTGGCGCAGTGCTCAGTGGTCTCAGTAGAGGACCCGTGGGTGTGGACGGAGCTGTGCGAGCTGCCATATTGCTTTGAGTCTGTGGCCTCCAACTCTGGTTTGGAAAATGTTAGTGCTGTGCTAAGACCTTGCTGCCCTGACTGGCTGGTTCCTGCTGTCTGGTGCTCTGACCAGTGGTCTCCAGGAGTCCTAAGCCCTTGAGTCCTGGGGGTCCCGCCCCAGTATGTTTCAAACCTGGCCAGTGATGGCCCCTCCATTGGGGGTGATGTTGGGGACTTCGGGGTAGTAGCGTGGGACCTTGGTCTTGCCTGTACAATTTGGATCCCTCCTATTGGGATCATCGAATAAGGGACCTTGGCTTGCTGGGAGTGCATGGGAAGATGGCTGAAGATGTTGTCTGTTGTCTGGTGGCCAGGATAACCCTCACAAGTGGAAATGCGAAAAGCAGGTGGAAACAAGCTGGTGTCTGACCATGTTGGCCCTTCTCCTGCTGTTCTGCTTTTCTCCTGTAGGTGGAGCAAAGACTATGTTATTGCTAGCTCATGAGCCTGCTCCTCTAGTACACAAAGTCCTGTACCCTGAGAGCTTTGTGAGAGACAGTGTAGAGAAGACATATGGATTGCTTAATCTGGTTAAAAGTGCAGCCACATGTCTGTGACTCGTCTATGAACTAATTAGAAAATAGACTTACCACTCTGATGTGACTACCTGATGTACCAGGGTTCTCCCACGGTAAGTACCCAGGGGTTCTGTGCTGCATCCCCAGGGGCGAGGGAGGCGTTGGAACCTGTGACGATCGGTAGCAGCTGGGTGAAAGGGGAAGGAGAGGAGAAAGGGGTCTGATGGGAGAAGGTCCTCGTTCGGGGGAAGGTGAGACATGTCGGCTGGGTGAGGGGAGCTCTGTCCTCGGAGAGAGGCTCTGGATGGGTGACGAATACTCCAGGCGGGGGGAGAGGCTGCGGCTGGGGGAACAGCTCTCACTGCTTGGGGAGAAGGCTCTTGGAGATGCTTTCCAGCCTCGCCGGGAGAACACTGCTCTCCTGCTCCCCGGCGAGGCGGCTCTTCTGCCAGGCCAAACTCCACGTGGGGAGGGCTCCTGACTGGTGCAGGGAATGGGACCCGGAAGCTCGGGGTCAGGAGTGCCTTGCTTAGAGTGCCTGCTGGAGCTTGAACGCCCCCCTGTTGATGGGTGGGTGTCAGACGATACAGAGGACGGTGGGTCCTCGTGGGACGTGGACTCCTCCTCCTCTTCTTCGTCATCGTCGTCGTCGTTGTCTTCGTCGTCATCCGACTCCTCCACGTCAGAAAACTGATGCTCCTCCTGTTCCTCCGAGCCGCACACACGCTCTTCACTCCCTGCTGTTTGTGCAGACACAGAAAAACACGCAGACTTTAGATATCTATTCATGCCAACACCATGGGCCCTAAAATCTCATTTACTGGATGCGCAAAGTCGTGCAATAACACAAAAGTCACAAAACAGCGATTTACAGGAACAAGCACAAAGCGTGAGGACAGTCAAAGCAAAGGACAAACCAAACCCGGCACCCTTCAAACGCACTTTATAAATAGACTGAGAATGAAAAGGAATTTAATTGAAAAGCGCCATGCCTCTATTCACAAACTATCTCAGCAGCCTTGTGAATGGAAAGACAGTTTAAATGGCGCATCCTTGGCTGTGATGAGTGTAGTCTGTTGGCAAGAAAGAGACAGCGAGAGAGAGGAGGGGTTGCAGAGGAAGGTTAGGGAGGAGATCGTGAAGGCTTTGAGGCTTTTTTCCAGCTTTGACGGGGAGGTGTCAGCTGTGGCAAAAGGGCTCAGCTTTGTTTCGTTATATACCAAGAACTCATCCTTAAGGACAGGTTACAGCAGCCAGACTGTTGCAACAACATCAGGACGCTGTGGCATGTTCTGTATTCTTCATTTATTTATCTTATACTTTTTCAAATTTCTTATGCAAGGCCAGAGGGAGGAGAATAGAACATCGTGTTGCATAAGCTGTCAGTGCTGAACAGCTACTATTCTTCACAGGCAGGAGTTCATCCAGCTGTGTACCAAGATTTCTCCACAGGGGGAAGGCAAGTATGTGAGATTCATCCCCACCACCTGAAGTACCTGTTTCCTCGCTCTCCGGCTCATCCAATGACGACTCAGATACACCCATTGCCTGGCATTTTTTCCCATGAGCCTTTGACTTCATGTGTTTTGTAAGGTTTCCTAGGAAGAGAAAAAGAAAGAGAGTTTAAGACAAATGAGATGATCATTTTAGCAGCACAGCCAATAATGTGATCAATGGACAAAAACAGCATTTTTACATTTAGGACCAAAGAGCTCATCACGTTTTAATAAACAGAACCCAAATTTTCCATTCACCTTTGGTTTTGAAGGCAAAGTTGCAGTGTTTGCAAATGTATGGACGGACATCGGTGTGCGTTTTGATGTGCTTTTTCAGCATGCTTGGCTTCTTGCAGCGGATGCCGCACTCTCCGCATATGTACTTTCCCCTGCCGCGACCTCTCACGTAAACATACTCCTCATTGGATTTATACCTATGAGAAACAGACAGGTAAGAGATCAGAGACAGCAACTTTAAGGCTGCATTTATTAGATTTTAGGTCACTTGAGGAAAACCGGAACAAGCTGTAAGCACAACATTCACATTACCCCATTTGCAAATTTATCACGGTTATGGTGAGCAGATGCAGGGCAACATAACATTTAAGTCCAGTAATACCTCCTCTTTCTGATTTTATGTCTCTGTCTCATCTCGAAAAAACATTTTCCTCTTTATCTTCTAAACTGGTGCAGTCCCTGAATGTGTCGCTTGATGTGAAAGCGACAAGACCGGTTATTTCTGTACTGAAAACAGCACCACTATAAGCATACATTCAATGAATGAGTGTGTGTGTGTCTCTGCTAATAAATACTCATAAAGTGAACTTGAGACCAGAACCAACCGAGGCAGATGCAAAATAATCAAACAGGAAGTCGACTTGTTTAGATGTTTGCTTCGACAGTCACACTCTGACAGACAGAAAACACTTAAGCATGGAAGAAATGAATGAGTGAATGAGGCATATTGCATAAAGCGCTATATAAGAACCAATTCATTTACTATTTGCCATTACATAACAACTGGGGACTAAGTAATCAGTGATGAGAGCCATTTTTTCTGAAACTGTGTCCAAATGTTCAGGCATTTCTACAATATATACAAAGGTCCGCTAAGCAGGGTGTGAAAGCATAACAGAAAACAATTATTAGCAAAAATATTAGAATGAGAAGGGTTAGATTAGAATCAGCAGTTAACCTAACCCCACTAACTGCAGGTCGTTGAGGTGTGGGAGTACCCGGAGTACGACTGTGGCCTCACAGCAAGAAATACCCATCTTCAAACCTTCTGCTCAGCGTTCAGTTTGTGTGTTTTTCCTTCCTGCGTGATTTTAAAAAGCTTTTTTGATTTTTATGTCAATATAATTCAGCTTTGATCGTTGTTCATTAACACTTAAAAAACATAAAAACTTCAGACTGTGTGTTTTTTTAACCTTTTAAAGTCGATTTGGCACTTAGTTGTGATGTTTTAGCTTTGCGGTATGGGCCTTGAGATTGCAACAGGGCAACGAATGTATTCACAATGACAACCCATTCAGCACAGAGCAGAACGGCCAACCTGAGGAAAACAAAGGTAATAGAAAACCGCAGATAAAATATGAGACCCGCTCATCCAGATAACCTCAAATTTGGCACTGCAGTTACTCGTGTCCTCGGCAGCGCACCTGCCAAGTTTAAAGTGGATCTGATGAATGTTTGACGAGATAGGATGAGATAAGACAGCCAGACACACATACACATATTTCTTGATTTATCTGAGAGACAGAGCATTATGTTTGCCAGCTAGTTTTCAGTTAAACCCTGAAAACAGCTGCTAGGAGCCCAGAAGGTGATAATGAAAGCTGCAAACCCCAAAGCCCAAAATATGCACTCAAAGATACTTGGAGGATTACTGCAGAGTGCAGTCATCATTCTTTCTTCTTTCACATTGCACTGCGAGCAAATTCAGTGATAATAACAAAGATAACTGTGGAAGTTAGTGATTGCAGCACAGATACATGCACAAACACACACACACACACACAAAACTGAGAAACAAGGCTTTCTTTATGGTGCAGGTTGGGGAAGCCCCACCAAAACCCCTTCAGCACTGAGTCCCTCCACTACACCCTGGTGCAAAGAATAGCAGCTATTCTGCTCTGAACGGGTGGCCCTGCCAACAACATCAGCGGCTAAAGAGAGGGAAGGGAAGCCTGGCTATGGCCACCAACCTAAAATAGATACTACATATAAAAATCAAGCAACACATTTAGGTCTACTCTATAAAAAACACTGTTTATGCACAAACTTCATGTTTACCAAAAGGCTATTTGTAGACACGGCGTGGCACAGAGGTCTTATATCTGAATGAATTGTCCTCTATGAAAAATCCACTACTCATGGGGAAACTCACAAATCATTCTGAATTGTAAATATCCAATCTGTGCCGACTGTGTCTAATTACAGGATGTCACGACATCTACGTGGCTGTGAATGTTCCCCGTTGTATAACAGAACCAGTAACGGCAAATCATAACAAATTGTTACACAACTGTAAAATAGCCTCAACAGTGAGAATGTGTTGTGTTCATTCAGGAGCTGGCTACTGTTTACCTGCCGTGTATTTCTTGCTACTGCTAAAAATATCCACCCACATATCCGAAAAGAAAAAAAAGTAAAGTAAGAGAACTTCACTTCAGTTATCTAGCATTAAATCAGCAGCATATCTCTCAGTACATTCAGTCAAAAATCATGTTTTAGCGTTATGAGAGCCTTGTTGAAGAATAATGCTTCTAACCAAACAGAGCTACTAAAGATGATTAAAACATATTTAATCCTCATTTGACCAGAAAGAAACAGAATAAACTAATATTTTTGTCCTCAGTCTGTCTGAGTGGCACGGGTAAAGTGTTACAGGGTGTAACAAAACATGCATGGTTAACCATTTGCACCAGAGAAGACAATCATGTTTTTCACTGAATCAGTTCAGCTGCTGCCCACATAAACTTCCCCAGACTTTCACCACGACTAGTAAAAAGCATTTATTGTTGCCCATTTCCTGAAATCGATTATTGAGATGACAGTGTGGTACTATTAAACTCCAGAGAAGCCTGGAAGCAGATAAAATCTGGCAAGCCACTGGAACATAAACAAAGCTGCGTGATACATATTCATAAAAGACTGCTTTCTAGAATGAAATGAGTGGCACACGGCTATGATTTCAAAGTCTTGACAAAAGGGAGACAGGGATAATGAGTCGGGATGAAAAGCATTCTGTTCTCTTCAAGATTGAGTAGCTGTGACCATTTGCATGCATGGTGGAAACGCAGGAGAACATCAAGGAGCGGGGATGAGAGACAGGAAGGACACAGAGGAGGCTTTGGAGGGAATGAAAACAAAATAATGTGCAGGTAAGTGAAACTGGAAGAGCTGCCAGAGAGAAATGGGCAACACCTCTGGGGGTTTTTTGTGGATGAAAGTGCACTTCCTGAAGTTCAGTGCCTTATCTACTGTTACACGGACAGCTTCTTTACACCTGACATTCATGCACCTAAGCAGGAAATGCAGGGTGTGCCAAGTGTTAACACTCTGGAAGAGAAAAACTCAAAAATAGAAAATTTACCAAAACCAAACCAAACCAAAAAGAATACCAGTATCATAGGAAATTATCTACGTAAAGCAACATTGTATACCTTCCTTTTATTCTTTTCCACTAAATTCAAATTTTAAAAAACCCACGTTTTTCAAAGTGCTGTACAGAAAACAACAGGGGAATAGATAAGAAGTACATAGATATGAGATATAGTGGGTGCTAAACATGCAGTCACAGTCAAAAAAGGCACGGGAGACACAGTGAGCAAGTAGGCAGACTCGAATGACATTACGTAAAAACAAGTTTTAAGTCTAGCTTTCAAAATCTCAGTGGAGGGAGCAGATTTGACTGCACAGTTTGGGGGCAAACACAGAAAATTCCCAAACTCCTCTGAGTTTAAATCTAGACCGAGGGACGGTCATCAGCTGACTGGGGGGACCTGAAAGCTGAATAGGAGTGTAAGGAACGAGTCAAACCATGAAAGGCTTAGTGGACAAACAGGAGGAAATCATAAAATAAAGATTTAATCAGATACATTTAATGGGGAAACTTTAGTTCAGAATACTCAAACCTCAGGAATAAAGCACTTGGTGCTGGAGGAAAAATCACTCAGGCATTTGTGGAAAGCATTTATGTGTTATCCTGATCTGGTCTGTAGACAAATATGACAGCCTCGACTGTGACTCTGACTGCTTGCAGACTGCCTCATACTGTGCCTCCGTGTGACTTTTTATAGCCATAAAAATATTAATGAGAGTCTCACAAAGTTGGAGACAACCTTTTCCGCCCTCTCACACACACAAACCCACACATACACACACAGACGCTGCTAGCTCTCCAAATTAACACCTCTAAAACACAGACATTCGTGCCAGCAGTGAGAGGAAAAAGCTTGGCTACAGGTACAAATGAAGTCCCTCTGGACTCGTGGCCTCCCATCTGTTATTGTATTTTCTCCATGCACTCTTGTCAGCTCTCCATAGGCTGTTTTGCAGTCAGCGGGCATTGGTTTATGAAGAAGTGTAATGAGGAGCTGCCATATTTTGAAACTATAGAATTAAACAATTCTTACCCTCCTTCAAAGATGCAAACCCGAGAAGGCTCACTCTGCTTGGAGGTGGATGGTCTCTCCACTTCTCGCATCTCTTTATTTTCTTCCTTCTTTTCAGGCTGCTGCTGTTCCTTTACTTCAGTGAGGGTGCTGGGTGGGGTGGCATGTACCTACACTCAAGACACACATGGGAAAAAAATTCAAAACAACTTATAATAAAATGTTAAGTGCTGTTAAAGCAAGATTCAGTATAATTCCAGTTGTTTATCATTATGTTTTTCTAATGGCACAATTGGTGACCATGTTAGAAAATACTAGCATAGTATGCAACTATGCTAGCATACTATGCTAGCAACCTAAAGAGATGAAGACTGCAGAGCTTTGACTTCTAAGATGTAGAAGTATTCAAGAGCAAAACAGACCGTGAAATGTTCTGATGTAAGCAAATTAAACATGGTCAACATTTAAGTGGAAATGTATGTTTATTGTGTTTATGTTTACCTCTGACACATGCGGCGTCCTGCTGTTTTCAGGGGCCACTTTGACTTCGGCTGGAGTAGGGGCCGTAGCCATGGTATAAATCTCAGAAGTGTGCTTCTGTTTAGAGCAGAGCAGAGACAGGGCGACCTTTGTGCTGATGCCTGGCAAGTTGGGGTTGTGAGCGCTGACGCTCCAGGTTGAATAAACTGAAGTGCGGGGGTCCCTCTGGGCAGATGGGTTGGGTTTAACATACTTCTGGTAGCACCAGTTGACTGAGGTTGAAGTGTGGAGGCTGGGGAACGAAGATGCGCTTGCGCCCACCTCCACAGCTGAGATAGCTTCCTTTTTTTGGGTGATCTTCTCAGTTGTTTCCTTCTCTTCCACCTTTTCTTCCCTGTCATTTTTCCTTGGCTGGTCTTCTGGCTGCCCATGCACATCCACACTCGTTACTTCTAATGTATCTGATTTCTTCTTTTCCTTTTCCAGCTTTTTCCCAGTTGCCTTCCTTTCTTCTTCCTGTACTACCTTTGGTTCCACACGGCCCTCCTCCTCTTCTTCCTTATGGTGGCCCTCCTCCTCTTCCTCCTCCTCTTCCTCCTCTTTAACTCTTTTCTGGTGACGCTGGGCTTCTGTGCTGAGCTCAAGACTGGCTGCAGGGGACAGCATGCGCTTACTTCCTCCTGCCCCTAGTGGACTGTATCCATCTCCAGATCCTGAGGCCAGCTCTGATGACAGAGACAGAGGAAGAAGGCTCTTGACATCTGGAGAGGGGACTTTCAAGTAGCTCCTTTGCAGTGTCTCCCGTTCCACCTGGCCCATGATGACCATAGCCGTGCAAGAAACTGGTTCCTGTGAGCGGGTGGAAACCAGAATCTGGGAAAGTGTGGTATACATTGCACTGGCATATGTAGGTATATGAGTCTGGAGGCGTACTGGCACCACGAGAGACACTACTGGTGCAAGCTGTGCCAGGCATGTGGCGATGACCGGCCTCGGGTGGTGGTAGGAGATTGTCACAAGGGACTCCTGAGTCAGTGAAGAAGACACAGAAGAAATGGGGGGTCTGCTTTCTGTAGTTTGAGGAGAAGAAATGTGTGTGGTAAATCTTGGAGGAACGGGCAAGTACATGGCCTGGCTCGATGTATTCCTGGAAGAAAAATGGTGAGGAAAAGGGGGAGGAAGCTGATGGAGGGGTATTCCCAACCTTTCAGCCATGTGGATTTGTGCTGGATGTATCTGTACAGGCGGAGATTCTGTGTGTGACTGTAGAAATGCTCTTTGAATGATTTGGGTGGATAGTACTTCCGATTTGGCTGTGGTGACCGGGAGGAGCTGGGACAAAGACCCTGGGGGGAATGCTTGATGCCCTCTGGGGTGCAAAGGAAGCACCTCCTGAGAGGATAAAGAAATTTGTGGCTGTAACAGCTGCAAAGCCTTTCCAGTGGCATCGAGGCTAAACTGGGAGCTTACTCCAGTGGAGTACAGAGGAGAAAGATTAGAGTAGGAAGGACCAGGTTGCGGACTCTCTGCTCTGGGCAGCTGACTAGTTCTGCCTCCTACTTCCTGTTCTGGTTCCCCTAATGGAGCATGCTTCACTAGAAGACACTTTCTCCTTTCCTTCCAGGAGGATGCAGACTGCTGAGGAGACAGGGATCCATAGTCAAAGGACTTACTTCTGATCTCTGGGATCTGCTCCGTTTGTTGTGGACTAGCTGGGGCCTGCTCTGAGGCTGAGCGCCTCATCTCCTTGTGGCTTTGGTGGTGTTGGTGAGAAGCAGATGGCACCATCAACATCTGGGAACTTTGGCTACTGGGAGCTCGGGCAGCTTGCTCTGATTGTGCTACATCCTCAAAAGAAACAGAAAAGTTTGAAATGTTGCTTTCTTGACTGGGGCTGCGAGGCAAAGACATAGACTCAAAGCTGGACTCTCCAGAGGACTGGGCAGCTTCTGCCAGCCTGAGTCTTTTCTTCTTTGGTGGCAGCTTCTCTGCAGGGAGCTGGGCCAATGTCTGACTTCGTTGAGGCCAGTGGAACTCCTCTACTCTCTCTGCCTCCTAGGACAGATACATTTTTTATAAATTTAGTATTTAAGTCAATGGTAATGATGCTAACTTGGACAAATGCATTGTATGAAGACTGTAAACAAGCAAGAAAAAAAAACATAATTAAAAAAGGTACATTTACCTTTGATGAGGATGCTGTCAGCGGGGGTGACACAGGTGGCATTTCAGCATCGGGCTCCACAGTAACAAGTATCTCCGGCACTTGAATATTTGGCTGGCGGATGAGGCGAGATGTAGAGGGTGATGGTTTTGGCTCAGGTTGTGTTTGCTGACTCTCTCTGAGGTCTGGATCTTGACTTTCCATAGATATACTCTCTTGCTTCTCAAAAGAGCTAGTGTGTTGGATGACAGACACACCCTTCCTGTCCTGCTGCTGCTGTTGGTTTGGTTCAGTCTGTAAGGAAACACCTAGACACAAGCAGTAGAAAAATTAGCTACCATTATAGGGCATCAGTATTGTGCTTTTGAGTGATGCAACTTAGCATTTTGTGGATTCTATTCCCATCTACTGTACAGTGCTACGGGTTACATGGTAGTAGTTTTTCCCGCTTTCTGTTTAACTATGTTAAGACAGTGATGTAGTTTTAGATATTCACTGCTTTAACTTTTAGGTATATGATAATCTGCATGTCTCAGATGCTAAAATGGCATAGAAAAGGTCTTCAAGAGAATAGCTGTATCGATTATGCAACTTAACATAATGATTTTAGCTAAAAAAACATATTTTGTATGTATGAGAGACAAACCTGAGAGGGCCTGCTTCTGCTCTGGTCTGCGTGGTACTGGAATGAGGCCTCCAGAGCTGCCGGACACAGCTACAGATCCAGGACTGGGAGGATCCTCCTCCAGACTCTCCTCTTTCCTCCGCTTCCTCACAGCCATGGCTAACGCTCGAAACTTATGGTGCATCATCAGCGGGCGATCTACACTGCACGCTTTGCTTGCATCCCTGCTCTCTTGCTCCTGCCCTGGGCAGATGCTTCTGTGGGCCTCGAAGACTTCAGTCTCTTGAAAGCGGGCCCCACATGTTCCACATTCAAACACAGCGGGACTCTTTTGCTGTTGTTGTTGTTGTTGCTGTGGCTGTCTGGGTAGTTCGGTGCCTCTTGTTGAGGAGGAGCAGGAAGTGGTGGGACTGGGCTCCTCCAACATTGACTCGGCTCCCAGGGGAACCTCTATGGCAGGCTGGCGCTTGAGCATACGCTGCGCATGGCCGATCCTCATCTCTGCGACCACTGCTTGCTGCTCATCAAAAGATTGGCAGAGGCGGTAACCTCTGGGTGACATGGTGCCAGAGGCAAAGGACTCTCCTTGGCTGGTTGATATTGGCATTGAGTGGCTTCTAAGCAGAGGCACTGCTGACTGGTCCTGCGTACCCGGTGGATCAGCGTCAGGATTATGGATGTGCCTCAAACCACTGGGGCCTGCGGCTTCTCCTTTGAGATCAAAGGCATAGGGGTCTTTGGGGGCAGTAAATTTGGGTGACTCCATGCTGCTCTTCCGTGACAGGGAGGAGCGTCGAGGCTTAACGCTGTCAATCTCACTCGTGTCTACTACTGCTTCATTGATAGTGATGAGCTTGGTAATGTGTTCTATTACTTGGGTTTTGGGTACGGCGAAGGAGATGTTCTTCTCCTCGGTTCCTGAGGATGAGGAATGTGAGGGATGAGGCTGCTGCTGGTGGGGACTCCGCTGCTGCCCTCCCAGCCTTCCATATTTCCCTAAAATAATTTCTGCGTAGGTTTTGGCACTGGAACTTGGAGGGCTAACTTGGCATATGTCAGTACTGCCTGATCCGGAGAAGTAGCCCGACTCTGTGCTGCCTTTACTGCCAGGCCCAATAGAAGAAGATGATGTGGAGAGGGAAGAGGGTGGGTCATCTGGAGAAGCCATGGGCCCACGTTTTCTCTCACTAAGCCTCAGTGCAAGTCTTTGCTTGACAGCGTGGGAGTCTTCAGGCCTCTGGCTCTCCTCTGAGCTTCTCAGGCGCTCCTTACCTCCTTTCCTATGCTGCCCCAGCATCTCTTTAGAGGATTTTCTGTGCTGGCCTGTCTCGTCCTCAGACTCAGTGCTTTCTCCCTCTGTGTGTTCCTCAGGGTCTTCTCCAGCGCCACTGCCTTCTGCACCACTCAAACTGGGCTCATCTCGACTGGATGCCAGACCCGCTTTAATACGATGGGCATGGGACTTGCGGTGTTTGTATAAGTTGCTCTTGGTCTTAAAGGAAAACCCACAGGGCGCACATGGGTAGGGTCTTTCTCCTGTATGTGATCGTATGTGTTTCTGAAGAACGCTTGGCTTGGCACATGGACGGCCACAGTAAGTGCACACATATTTCCCTGGTTTTTGTGGTTTCTTCTCCCCTTTCCTAGGTGAGCTAACCCCTTCTAGGCCCTGTTGACTGGAGTGAGTTGGAACGCCGTGAGCATGCTCACCCTGGGTGGAGGACGTAGAGGGGAGGGATAAGGTTGACGAGGAGCTTGTAGAGAAGAAGCTGCCTCCTGAGGGACCTGGGGTATCTGAACGCTGCCATGCTACTGCTTGCTGCTGCTGTAACCGAAGCAGGTCAGTGCGCTTGGGTTGGCGGTTTTGTAGGCGGCCCAAGGCTCTGTGTACAGGACGAGGATTAGAAGGCTGCTGGGGTTGCTGAGGTGGACAAGAACCCAATGAAGATTCAGATGTCACATGCTGCTGCGCTTGCCTTCCAGAGCGCTCCCCATCAGCCGGATGGCTGGGCTCAGCCTCCATAGAGTGGGGAGGAGACCTCACAGACTCGTAACGAAAGGCTCTCGGAGCCTCATTGGTCTAACCGCATGGCAGCAGAGAGGTCAGAGGCATAGGAACATTGACAGACTAAGTTGTAAATCAAAATGGAGCACCTTTTTCAGAGTGGGCCAAAAGTTATGCAAGAGGACAAAATGAGGCATCATTAAAAGGTGCCCTGGAGCCGCATGGATGCAGGTAAACATGGATCATTTCTCCGTTCAAAGCAGCTCTGCTTCTATCTAGCCTCAGCCATTTTAAAAGTCCTCCCAAGGTCTTTTTTGCATCTTCTTTGTTCGTTGGCAAGACTGTTAGTTGTTCGTCTTTTAAATGGGTCTAGAGAAACAGAAAAAGCAAAGGAAGCAATGAAAGCACTGAATGAGAAAAAGGAAAATTAATCAATCATCAAGCAGATTTCTTTTCAAAAAAGGTCCATGTGAAAATACTGTAAACATAACATTTCCCTTCTTCACTTTCCAGCAAAGTTCCTCTAAATAAAACCAACAAAACAAGACAAAGTAGCAATTAAGGTCCTGCTGTTTTGACTGCAGTCAAAAGTAAGAAATCAACAGATCATATTTAGAAACAGAAAACACAGTGGGCCCTGTGAGGAAGACTTAGTGTGCTTTTAAAAACCAAAAGAGTTACACCGATAAAGGGGAAGGTCAAAATCATTGGTGTCTTATTAGCAAATGTCATATTAAAATATACTTCCACATATCATATTATGAGAAATTGGGCTACCTTTCTTGCTACTGAATGGGGTCAGTGTTGTCATGACGACACTGACAAGGTAAGTGCATCAATAAGTTATTGCTCTCATCTGTCCTCACTTAAACTCTTATTAAGATAGTGGGTACTGCAAATCTATATTAAAATGCAAGGTCAAGCTGTTCTACATGGGAAACTGAGCATGTGCTCATCTGATGTATGCACACAACCCCAAGGTGTGTGCACAGCTCTTGAGTTCCTTAGACTGTGACAAATTAGAAATCAAGACTTCTACTCCAAACAGTGGAATCACAATCATATCTAACTGACGGCCTGCTTACTCGGCAGGAGTCTGAGGAGCCCGAGGCCAGAAAGTCAACATCCAAACTACAGGCACCAGAAAAGGAGACCGCAGTGTCAGGGCATAGAGTCAAAACAAATGTTCGAAATATAGTCCATGCATATCTGATCTGGCACCGAAGCTCAAGGGTGTAAATGAAGGGGGTTGTGTTCTAGTGGAGAAGAAGAACTTGACAGCAGCTGGGTGTCAGTGTTAGCCTCTCGCACTACACTGCCACCAGGGTGCAGTGTTTATGAGTAGTGTCTTCGCACAGAGTCTACAGTGACACGGTCCTGTAAGACCTTTCATCTGCTCTTTCACACTTACACTTTCACACTTACACTACTAAAAAGCTGTGTTTGTGAGGAGCCAAGTATAGCTCATCAGAGAGTCAGAGATGAGGCTATGATGAAATTTCATATTTTATCAAGATGTATGTACTGCAATATTTCCCCACTTACTGCCAAGCCTGCACTCCATCTCAACTCAAGACACGGGATTCTTGTACCAAAGCCAATCAAAACACACTGTGGGAATGGATTGGGTCAATCATAACATTATTGCTGAGCAGCCGTGCCCAACTGCTTACAGTCCCAGCACAGTCACGTCAGGAGTATCAGTCACCATCTAAGAAGGCTGATGGTACTTACAGCTCCCTGTGTCGGAATCTGCGCTTCAGTGCTCATTGAAGGAGAACACCACGTGTGCTCACTTCACAGCTGCAGACCTCTGCAACAGTGCAGGCAGCATGCACCTAATGCGCCGCACAGATACCGACTGAAAGGGGGTGAAAATGTACCTTTTTTCTTATTATACATGCATATAAAGTACTAGGAAGGAGAGAGCTGAGGAATGAGGAAGAGAGAAAAGACTGAATCAGTGATCCAGTGGCTGAATAAACAGACCCTGCAGAAGACTGCGGCTTAAGGTGCAAGGGGTGGCAAGGCAGCAATGACAGTTCTTTATAACGAGCTACGCTTTTACTCTCTCCATATGTCTAGAAAAACACAGCACAGTCAGCCTTCATTAGAGCCAGTTTAAAGTGGAATAAAAAGAAAGTGAATCACTCTTCCTCCTGGAAAAAAAGCTCGCCAGATTCTCAGCTCCATTTCCACGTTTCCACACATCTGCTAAGGGCCCATCATCTATCTGTACAGTGTGTGTTTCTCTAAGCAGACTAGTGCTTTGATTACAGCAGACTTTCACCATCAACACTCAGCAATTACACGACATAACAAACCAAAACAGCATTAAAATTCTCCATCTTCACTTTTCTGGCTTCCATATTCTCAGTTTTACGCGAGGACTTTGTCTAGGGTTCAGCAATAGCTTTTCTGTGTTAAGTCATGGGGACACATTACTCCCCAGGCCCAAATTAAGATAAGTTAGATTGTGAGGAAATGAAGAGTTGACAGACTGAAGGGTAAATACCGACACGCTTAAGAAAAGAAAAATGACAAACAAATATAGTGGGTTAAAGAAAAGAGAGAAAGAAAAGGACAAGGAAAAATGTAGCCAGACAGACAGTTAAAAAGAAAGTGTGTAGAAGGACGATTCTGTGCAGTGAGCATGAGAAAAGCAGACAAATAGCCTTCCTTAACCCTGCCGTAATAAATGTCTCTCTTCATGTAGTCGGCTATCAGGGTGTAATTTTAATGATCCCAAGCATAGCTGTTGATGCAGCCCTTAAACAGGGCAATTAGAAGGCTTTAAGGTTGGGAAGAGCACTGCTTACATTATTCATGGCAGTCTAGACTGCCAGGTTTGAATGGGGAAGCACACAGTTAAGGCCTTCCCAGGAAGACGAGGGAAAGGAATGCAAAAGTCTAGGCGACATTAAACCCTAACACACACACACACACAGACGCACAGACTCTTCCGCTTACAGAGTACATACAGTGAACAGCACTAGCCTCCTCACAGCAATGCCTTATAATACTTAGTAGCCCCAAATCCACTCTGACAGATCTGACCGACCAATCAGCCGCAGCGCCCCGAGGTGACCTACCCCCGTCAACCGATCCTCCTGTAGTTTGATGAGGGGTTTTCCTTCCTCATGATCCTAATACTTACACTAGTGTACTTAACAAAAAAAAAGATCACATTAAGACCTTGTATCATACTGATGAGGGTGAAGCAAGGTCGATCTTTGCTCTATTTCTAGACTGAGGTGCGAGCAGGAAGTTGCCAGCGCAGCTGTCATACAGTGTTATATTCTTTTTATCGGTGATGTCAGATCAAACCCCACCCCCCGAAAAAAAAAAACGATTTCATCTGTCCTGAACCATTGTAGCAGCCTTATGGTGCATTCAGAGATTTGTGGCGTGAACTAGTTTTTTATATCTGCTCCAAAAATGCGATAACCAACCAGCTCAAAAAGACGAGAGGGCAGAATGAGTGAGCAACGAGTGCAGAGTGTGTGCGTGCAAAAGGGGCTTTGTCAGCAGAAACAGACGTTACTGCAGGTACCCAAGGGAGCCCTGACACACGGAAGAGCTCACACTCCATCTCTTTCACACACACACACACACACACACACACACACACACACACACACACACACACACACACACACACACACACACACAC